CATTTTAATTTTACTTTTTTTTTTTTCGTAAGCTACCGTCAAATCCTCAGTTGACATTTGGTAACTAAGGAGCCGCCATGTTGACTTGCTGAAATCAGTAAATATGCGAATAATGCAATAGAATAGAAAATTAAACAACACCTACCTCAAAAATCCACTTTAATGCTATATTATCCGAATTTCTATGGTTCACGTAACGAAAAAACCTTCAGCTTTAGCGTTTTCATTTGTATGACGTCATGTTTTGAAATGACTTAAATGCGCCAAAAGCATTAATGGGGTTACACTAAAGACCTGAACGTGGACCTGAAAAGACCTGAATAGACCTGATGATATACTACTGGATTTATTCAAATTGCAAATACTTTTCTATTATTCAAAGGATTTTCTTCAAGTTGAAATTTCATTAAAAGTAAAGATCCACCTGATATTAAAAATAAAATGTTTTAAATAAAAAACAAGTTTTTGATGCCAAAACTCGGACCTGGACGAAGAAATAAAAAGACTTGAAATTCTACGATCAGACTTATTCAATCTTCAATAACTGTTTTATTTTCAATGGATTTTCTTCACGTTAAGTTTTTTTGAAACGAAAAATTCAAAATATATTAATAATATTCAAAAAGAAATTATGAAAAATATTTTTGGGGCGTCAAAACTCGGACCTGCACGGGAAATTAAATTACCTGAATTGACCTGAAAATCTCCGGTGAGATTTATACAAGTTCTATAGATATAGGAAGATGTGATATGAGTGCCAATGAGACAACTCTCCATCCAAGTTACAATTTATAAAAGTAAACCGTTATAGGTCAAGATACGGCCTTCAACACGGAGCATTGGCTCACATCGAACAGCAAGCTATAAAGGGCCCCAAAAAATTACTAGTGTAAAACCATTCAAACGGAAAAACCAACGGTCTAATCTATATAAAAAACAAGAAAACGAGAAACACGTATGAACTACATAAACAGACGACAACTACTGTAATCAGATTCCTGACTTAGGACAGGTGCAAACATTTGCAGCGGGATTAAACGTTTTAATGGTACCAAACCTTCTCCCTTTTCTGAAACAATAGTATAACATCACAACATAGAAAAACACACTATAAAATATCAATTGGAAGGCTTAACTCAATCAAAAAACGTAAATTAACACACAATGAACGAATAGAGGTGACCTGTGACACCTGAATGCAAATACACAGTTAATAAAAAATTACAAGGGATAAATAATTAAGTCAAAAGTAAATAAACAGGTTTAAACAAAGTTAAAGTATGATAGCACTGTGAAATGTCAAACAATTTTTAGAAAATCATCACTTTTGAAGAAACCTGCGTCATATAATACACAGGTAAATGAAAATAATTTTGTTGTTAAGTATACTTAATCTTCTGTGTGAATAAAATCTTCCGTTTAGGAATACCAAGAAATTTCTTTAATATCAATAAAACTAATCTAACACTTGGTACATATGGGGTGAATATCAACAATAAAACTATACAATTAGTGCTAGAGAAAACTTCCTGTTTAGGTCCAAGAACAGCATCTAAAGAAAAATGAAATAATTTTGATGTTCATAGTACGAAGAAGTGAAAATTTGTAGTAATACCAAATAATCAAAGCTGGTATATAGACCAGATCCATGTTAACATTAAATAACAAAAAAGCATTACAAATAGTATCAACAGGTCAAATTAAAAAGAAAATACGATTTGAGAGTACTCACAGTTACTGACAGCTAGTTAAAAGCCAAAACAATTAATAATAAAAAATCATGCATCAGAGACTAAAATCAACTAAAATACATCCCAGGGATTTAGTATTTTAACGTCATGAACAGTCAAAGAAGACATGACTTGTGCAATGCCAAAAATAAATGTATCGACAGGTAGTAGGATAGTTAGGAGTGACTTCTTTAGACATAAAAATGAACGTGTGTGTGTCTCTATACATCCCGTTTGAAAAGAAAATACAAATTTAGTAATGTTTTAATTTGCTAATGACAAAATCGATATTAGTGCCAATGTAAACTATATTCAGAGATCTAATTACAACATTGGTACGATAACACTAACTAATAAGTTTGTTTAAAGGTTCGATGAGTTTACACGGATCACATAATGATTTCCGCGCTTTAAGTACAATATTACCATTAAATTTAAGATGTGAAATACCATTTTTAATACGTTTTCTACAAGGTACAGCCAAATATACTTATCAAATCTTTGTATCTATGAAAGAATTTAGTAAAAGTTTTAAGTAATTTAAAGTAACGAAATCCCTGACTTAATAATTTACCAGTGATTCATTGATTACGTTTGTTAAAATCTATGGCATCACTACACACACGGGCATACCAAACGAGTTGGGATATATAAACACCGTATGATGGAGCCAAAGGCACATCGCCGTCTAAAAAAGGAAAATTAACAATAGGGAATGAAAAATTGTCTCTTTTGTCGTAAATTTTAGTATGGAGTTTCACTTTAGAAATTGAAATGTCTAAATCTAGAAAAGGATATAACTGTTTTAGTTTTCAATCAATCTCCTTGTAATTTGAATTTTGTTATAGATAATGTACATGTATAGTATCTTATTGAAATGATAGAGAACTTTATGAAAACTATTTTTTTGGTTCCAAAAATCGGACCTTACCAGGGAAATATAAAAGTCCTAAACGGACCTAAAAAATACGGGTAGGCGTATTTAAACTGACAAGACTTTTTTTTAGTTAATTGATTTATTCTAAATTAAATTATATGGAAGAGAAAGACTGATTTTATGTGTACAGGAAAATTTTTAAATAACAAATACTTGTTGGTGTTGAAACCTGAACCTGAAGGGAACACAGGATTGTCAGTGGAAAATTATTCAAACTAATTAACTATCTATATAAACTTCTATAAAAACAGGTTTTAAATTAAATTGTTATATTTATATATTGAAAATAAAAGTATCATAAACCATGTAATCTAAAGACGTGTGTTCGTTGATTGGAATGTATTAATTACATGAACGTGTGCCAGCTGTAATTCACACCTTGTATTAGGTGATAACTGGGTCATTGGTCTAAATAAACATTTCATTTTGATCTTTTAATTGGATTATCTTTATCTTTATGACCCAAGGGTTTGAATCTACAGATTTAGTGAATATATCAAATGCCAAAGAATTTTCCGTAGAAACTATATGTAATATATAATGAAAATTGGGTTTGCTGTTTCAAAGATCAAAGGAAAGTTAAGAAGCAGTACCAAATAATGCACTTATCATAGTGGCAGGTGGAGCATTCTCCCCGAGGGTATAAACAGCCCAGTAGATAGCACTTCTGTGTTGACATGAATCATCATTGATATGGTCATAGTTATAAAAATAACTGTTCATAAAACATTAAATTTTTATACGACCGCAACATTTTTGCATTAGTATCATGTTATGGCGATGTCCGTGTCGTCGACGCTCGAAGATATTGTCGTCCAAACACATTTTGGTTTCTGGACAATAACTTGAATATAAGTTTTGTGGATCTCTATGAAATGGTACCACAATGTTCCATACCTCAAAAAAAAAAGGTTGGGATTCATTTTGTGGTTATGGCCGAAACTGTTATGGAATTATGGGGCCAGAAAGGGGCAAAAAATCTTTCTGGTTTCCGGACAATAAATTGAGTATAAGTCTATGGATCTATATGAAATTGTATTTCAAGGTTCCATACCATAAAAGGAAGGTTTTGGATTGATTTTAGGGGTTATGACCATAACCTTTTAGGAAAAAGGGGCCAAAACAATACTGTTCTAAAACTTTGTCTAAATTTCTTATTTCTTGACCGATTTCAATGGGGTTTAATTCAAAGTCTTGAATTCTTGAGGTTCTCTAATATGCTAAATCTAACCGTGTATTCAGATTTTAAAATGTTGGGCTCTGTTTTTGAATTGGTTCATATTAAGTTTCAAAGGGCCAAACATTTAACTTTGTTTGATTTCTCTTGTATTACATAATTTACCTCAATAATATCTTAGATGGTTGATATATAGAAAGGGTAAATCTACCGATATAATTACATTTCATCTACACTTTACGAAATAAGTCTGTAAATTATGTGTCAAAGATGAAAGATTACGGATTAAAAAGATGTGTATTTTCAAAAAAGGCAAATAATTAAATCAGTATAACAAATGGAAGCAGGCCCCTTTTACTTGTAAAAATAGTGTCATAATCATCTGACACAAGTCAATAATTTAGGTTAATTTGAGTTGCTTTTATCATTGACTTGCTTGCAAGCGAAAACAAAATTGACTACCTTTATCTGGGCAATTTCCGCAATACTTGTTTAACATTCCCAATTAGCAACACGACGGGTGCCACATGTGGAGCAGGATCTGCTTACCCTTCCGGAGCACATCCGATCACCCCCAGTTTTTGGTGGGGTTCGTGTTGCTTAGTCTTTATTTTTCTATGTTGTGTTTTGTGTACTATTGTTTGTCTGTTTGTCTTTTTCTTTTTTAGCCATGGCGTTGTCAGTTTATTTTCGATTTATGAGTTTGAATGTCCCTCTGGTATCTTTCGCCCCTCTTTTATTGTTATTTATACTTTATAGTATTTGTAAATGTATACTTGAAACAAGAAATGTATCTTTTCCATTGAAGAATGACCACAAAATTGACGAAAATTCATTTGCTTAATATTTTTTTCATATAAGCACAATAGTGGCGAAAGTGGCGTTAACCACTAATTAATACATACTACATCTCCCGTTACATATTCCTCTTTCCATCCATATCAAAATTATCAAATCGAAAAAATGTCAACAAAAGAAATATAAAAATCAGAGCACCTTCTAAAATAGAAGTATTTAAAGAATGGCCAAACTAGCTAATAAATTGGCTGAATCACAGCACTGATGGTGCTCTAATTTTCAATTGTTTGTGTTGCTCTTATTAAGGTTTATAGTCTTATAGCTAAACTCATTTATATTGAACTTTTGTAGATGTTCCAGATTCCAAGACATTTGACATTTTATTAGTAATAACACTTTTAAGGAACTTAACTAACCTGAACCCTCCTCATAGGGGATATGATCAGTTACCTTACCAGAGTGAAACCACACCAGCATCTGATTTAGCTAGAATTAAATATTATAGGAACTACCAGGCTCGTGTTGATGATGGAAAAATTGACAATGCATCCTTCGTCAGTGCATGGGACAATCTGTCTGGGGTAGGTATTGTATTTGAGATCTATCTACACCAAAAACTATTAGGACTGTAACATTTGTATGTTTCAGTGGGTGTTTGGTTTGTTCATATTTTTTTTTAGAAAAGATGGTTGACAACATGTTGCCAAGAGATCAGACATTTTCTTCATTTTCATTGAAACCACTAACCCAGTGTGGAATTAGATTTACAGGAATGGTGTTAAGTTTGACTTCTAGTTGTTATTTTTTTAATACATTGTGACTTGGTTGGAGAGTTGTCTCATTGGAACTCATACCACATATTTTAATTTATATTAAGACTCATTTGATTTGGATCGGACAAAAAACGAGCAACAGACAGAGGCAAATATTAATACAATGATATTTAACCACAAAAACTGCCCAGTCCATTACACCAACTTGATATCTCACTGGCTTTAACAGCGTACCTGCCTAGGTCATTCTAGTAGCACATGATATGTGAACGGAAATCTGTATCATATTTTTATATGTAATAACACTATCAGTCCGTCTTAAGTGTGTCTGACCGTAACAATTTTTCTGACCCATTTTTTACAGCAGCTACAAATCATATTCTTAATATATGATGTTTAGCTTCACATTGGTAATTTATACCATGTCATACATTTGTATATCGATTACGTATCTACTTTCTGTTTTTCGCATTGTCCACTTAAAAGAAATTTTCTTTGCATATTTTCAACCACTACAATATAGAGCTTTTGATATTTCTGTCCATGCTTCGTGTGTTAAAAAGCTATACGGTATGACACAAGTTCAGATTTGTAATTTTATATTTTCTTTTTGCCAGATATAAACATGCACTTTACAATGATTTAGCTAGATAAGAAATGTTTATATTACATTCATCTACAAACTACAAATCATAGCTTCTTGATATTTGATACATTGTACCAAATTTTATACTGTTTTTTTCATAATGCATTTTGTGTTTTAACTGAAGATTGCAGGAGCAATCAATGCGACGAGGGTAAGGGTATAACTAGTATATTTTTGATGCCAGAATGTTAAAATGTGGAATTCTAATAATTCTGATATTAATGGCATCTTAAATATACTGGTTATAAAGCTTAAACATGTTCTTAACTACTTCATGATGTCTTCTTCCACATTTGGTTGATGTTTTTTTCCCTTTCACTTAATAAATTGGTGACACAAATCTCCCATTACAACTTGTAACAACTGGAATAGTACAGTCAGGAACCTGATGTTCAGTGGTCGTTATAGAATAGACCGTTGGTTTTCCTGTTTGAAAGGTTTTACACTAGTCATTTTGGGGGCCCTTTATAGCTTGCTGTTCGGTGTGAGACAAGGCTCCGTGTTAAAGGCCGTACTTTGATCTATAATGGTTTACTTTTACAAATTGTGACTTGGATAGAGAGTTGTCTCATTGTCACTCATACCACATCTTCTTATGTCTATGAAAACCATGAAGCTCCAATTGTGCATCGATTGATTTAAAAAGCATTTCTTTTACTAAAACGGTACTTTCTTGGTCTATCATTTAGTGCACTTAAATCAATTTCATGCGTTTTATGTTAAATTCAGTTAAAATCAATGATTAACATAGTAAATTTGTTGGAGACATTTTTCATTTGAAACATTCATGCTGCTTTATTAAAAATAAAAGTGTTATAAAATTACACCCCTGGTTTTTAGTGGGATTGGTTCATGCTGCTCCCTCCTTAGTTTTCTATGTTGTGTTTTGTATACTATTGTTTGTCTTTCGATCGTTTTTCGTTTTTGCAATGGCATTGTCAGTTTGTTTTCGACTTTTGAGTTTGGATATCCGTTTGGTATCTTTCGGATCTCTTTTACCTAGTGATGAATTCAATTTTATTCTAGAAATCAAGCATGTAAAGTAAAGTAAGAACTCTTCCACTTTTCTGATTGCAGCTAAACTTGATCTCAATTATCCAGATAAATTAAAATACATTGGGAGTGTGTCCGATTTTAGGTTAGAGAGCCTCTAAGAGTAGCTGGTCTGAAATACAATCTGTCTAAGATATATTATAATAATTGTTACGTGTTTGGTATTTGCAAACATTTGGTCAGACACATTAAGCTAATGACAGCTTGTGACTTAATACACATTTAACGGGAGTATAGGAACGTTAAACAATTTAGAGAACTCGGCTTATTCAAGAAAAAAACAGTATCCATTTTAATGTTTTCACATTATCATTCTTTTTCCTAGATTTATAAAATAAGACTGTGGCATAACTGTACAACAGTATGATTTTAGTATCATTAATTTTCTTCACACACTTATACATATTATTTTCTTTTATTCAAATTGAACCAAACACATGAATATGTAATGTATGAATACAAAAAAAAACTGTTCCATCTGTCAAAATCTTATAGTGTTTGAATTAATATGCAGTACAAAATTTAACCTGTTTTTGATATTGTTAACCACTGTTGACTTAATTTGTCTAGAGATGTTTTTACAAGGTGACCTTTTTTTCAGAAACAAATGCCATGAATGAGGAAATTGATATAATTCTTTTAATCTTAATTACGTATGATCAATGATTTAGTGCAAATGGCATATATTAATGAAACATAAATATACCTCTCTGGGCTTTATTACTTATTTGAAATAACATATGACAATAATTAACAGTTCTTAAACGAACTAAAACTACACTGGCATACAAAGACTGTACTTTGAAGCTTTTGGCTTAGTTGAATATGTTTACTTCTTGACAAAGAATGAGCCAGACTCAATAACGTATAGCGTATAGCTTAAAGGAGTCAGTCCACTATCAATAAGAATCAAGTAACTGCTGTTCACTCGAAAGTCTCAAGTCATACATGATGATTAAAAGGAAGACTTGGTAATATCATATTTGATACTGTTAATCACAAAAATGATATCTTCACAAGAAATTAAGTTAAAATCTGATGATTTAATAATAAGGTAATCTTTATTATGAATCATTCTTATGTATTCAGTTGTAAATGATGTGCAACTAGTGTGGTGGTGTATTTGGTTTTATTGTGAAATGTAATAATAATACTATAGAATATTGACAGAACAACACATAGATTTGAGAATTTGTATCACACAAGAGGGAATTAAGTGTTTTGTTCTGTTGCATTTTTATATTCTCTATTATTCAAATTCAAGGGGACATATCTGTTTATTTCATTTATAAATTGATATTGGTGAAAAATAAATAATTTTAATTGATTCTTAGGATTTGGACTAAATGTCCTCCTCTGGTACTTCAACTTCTCTTATCTTATATTGACTTTATCAATGACTACCATGGGTTTTTATTTTTATGTCAATGTTTTAGGCCATTGCAAGATTAGGTGGAATACCAATGTCTCAGGAGTGTGATCAACTGAGAACTAAAACTCTAGACCAGAGCAGCCAAGAAATAATGTTAGACATCAAACGTTCTAATGATGAAATTTATGAAATGAAAAAGTCAATGGAAAGTTTGAAAAAAGCCTATGAAGGAATCACAAACGAATTTCTTGAATTTAAGTCTACTCAGAGGAAGAACATCCCTTGGAATGTTGGAGGTAAAATATATCAGATCAACAACGTACGCAATTTCATAATTTTATAGCATAATGCACGGACAGAATATGATATATGAACTAATGAAAGCAACATGAATGATTGTCGTCTTGACCATATTTGATTGACCTTAACACAAGTATGATTGATCAGTGTGCAGATCTCTGTGAATCCTTTACAAAGATTCATTTTTACGTTTTTAAAATACATGACACATGATTTACGTGAAAAAAAGTCATTATACAAGACTTTTTAATTTGTTGGTTTACAGATGTATAGACCCATTTATTTCTATTTTTAAGAAAACAAATAAAAATTTAAGCTCCTGATTTTTATTTCTTGCTGACCCTACAAAATGCATTACCTCTGAATATCAGTCCTCCCTACGGTTGGTCTTTCATTTCACCAATCCTGACCCCCTCGTTGTGTTACACGACAGGAAAAACCTTAAAATATGCATTATCTATAACATTTCTATATTTTTTTTATTTATTTTTACATTTGAATAAATAAGATTTATATGAATCCGTACTATCAAAAATTAGCTAAGCATCATGGTCATTGATGGTCACTCTGTATTATGCTAAGAAGCAATGTTTTGCAATAATTCGTCATTTACAAGACAGCATACTTATTCGAATACTAGTAAGTTATATCGAAACAGTAATGTAATTCATTTTACAAATTGGAGATTAGATCATTCTCTCAGCAGGGGGATTTTTTAGATAGAAAGCAAAGTATAACGATCTTCTATCAGACTTCTTGTAAAACTTGCACTTTTTTTTCTCACTTATTTACAGATAGGCTTCTTCATCTAAATAGAATTAAAAGTACATCTGAATTCAAGATGCTGCTATCGAAAGGAACGTATGCCTCATATGAAAACCGGGTGTATTTAGCAGGATCGGTTAATACAGGCAAGAGTACTCTCGCTAGTGTCCTGATAGGTGACCAAATTCGAGAAGATTGGAAGTCTACAGATGGCCTCATTATACATTTTGGTAGAAATGGGATAGACATAGAGGCAAGGAAAATGATTCCATTAAAAAAAGGTAACCGTCAATTTTTTTTAGCCTGCACTTACTTTATTTATTTTATTTTTTAAAGACTTGTAAGAAATTTTGAAGTGAAAAATTATACTTTTCTGTAAGAAATTATCTAGTTTAGGACTTCAAAGTGAATTAAAATTTATCTAGTTTAAGAACTTTACCAAATAAGTTAACTAGTAAAAAAAAGAGTGAAGTAAAATTATCTGGTTCACAACTTGAAGTCAAGTAAATAACTAGCTTTCCAAACTAGAAAGCTTTGTAATATTTAAAAGTAAAGGAAATACTTAAAGTATATATTATGTACATTGTTGTCTATTTAATAGAATTATATGCGACTGTCATACAAGTGAGAGGTTTAGCTAGCTATAAAACCAGGTTTAATCCACCATTTTCTACATAAGGAAATGCCTGTACCAAGTCAGGAATATGACAGTTGTTTTCCATTTGTTTGATGTGTTTAATTAGTTTGTAACCCGGATGGGTTTTCGCTTAATCGATTTATGACTATTGAACAGCGGTATGCTACTGTTGCTACTGTTGCCTTTATTTGAGATTTTGATTTTCCAATTTGATAAGGGACTTTCCGATTTGAATTTTACTTGGAGTTTGGTTATTTTACTTTTTATAAGTCATGACGATGCCATATTACCTGCGTCACCAGAGGCTAGATCAGTTCTAGAAAATGATTGGCTCCGTTTGTTATTTTGTCCATCATTCCACACTTCCTTCTGTCCGTCAAAATCACATAGAGGACTTCGTATTTGTTTCATTCCCTTACTCTGACATTTTTCCTTCAAAGGTATTTACACCTTGCATAGGGACTGCACACAGCTTGAAAATAAGCACCTATCATTTTGGACAAATTTGAGTATATTTTCTTAGGTTTCCCATCAGTGAAATCATTGAATGTTATAACATACCTTTTTTTATTTCCATATCGATCAAGTTTTGCATTTAGGGTTTGTATATCCATATCATAACTAAATTCAGAAAGGACTAAAAATGGAGAAAAATTCTTCTTGAAATAAAAATGTTAATATTACGAGTTATATTTAACTTTAGTGCTATAAAGATAAAAAAACAAATCCGTTGACTGAGAATTTCTAAAATTTCATGGGAACTACCATACTGATACATCTTGTCTGGATAGACCAAAGTCTTACACTTTGCTGATGTCAATTGGTCTGAAGGCTTTCGTGATGCAGGTTCAGAACCGGTATTTGTCTTATTGACGATATACATGATATACAAGGCGTTTATATTAAATTGTAGAATATAATTTAAACAACCGGTACTGAAGAGTATTGTTATTTGTAGTGTGAAAAATGAGATAAACCAATTTGTTCACCTTTAACGTCATTTGAAAAGGACAAATGATCAAGATCACGTTAGAATTGATCAGGTCTTGTCTTTATCTCCCTTTGTGGTCTTTCAGCTCCAGTTGTTTTTATGTATTTATTATTCCTACCTTTCAAATGTTTTTGTTTTGAGCGTTCCTAATGAAGATAAATCCTGAACAAAAATTAATACGACCAAAGGTGATATTTTCATTTAATGCATACTTAGTTGTATGAATGTTTTATAGTTTAATATGCATGAGGTGCTTTTGTGTCTGTATTTTTTCTTTCTTGCTGTCTGCTTTGTTTTGACAATTTGACTTGATGCAAAATAATTGGAAATAATTTAGATACATCATAGGTTTTTTAGTATGTACGAAGATCAGTAATTAAGTCAGTTTCAAGGTTACTGAAGAAGATCTAAAAATACTTCAACAAGGCCGAAAGTGACTTTTTGACCCATTTAATCGAAAATAATAAAGCATTATACATCTACTTAAAAGTAAAATAACAAAAATACCGAACTCCAAGGAAAATTCAAAACGGAAAGTCCGTAATCAAAAGGCAAAATCAAAAGTTCAAACACATCAAACGAATGGATTACAACTGTCATATTCCTGACTTGGTACAGGCATTTTCTTATGTAGAAAATGGTGGATTAAACTGGTTTTATAACTAGCTAAACCTTTCACTTGTATGACCGTCGCATAAAATTCCATTATATTGACAACGATGTGTGAACAAAACATACTTAAGATGTTCATTAGACATAAGTCTGTCAGACATCAGTATCTATATTTTTCAATTGTCTTACATAGTTGCTTTCAAACTTCTTGCATTTACTGCAAAACAGCAAAAACTGCCAAAATATCATATTCATTTTAACATAATAATGAAATTTGTATACTGATTCTGAAAATAAGATAGCACTTTCCAAAGACAAACCATTTATCTATAGATGTAAGAATACTTTGATAAAGAATACAGTAATACTGTATTTAGATCTTATTCCTTTCAATTTAGGTGAATAAGTATTAAGATTAAAATTGTAGGTAGTGCTGGCCATGATGTTTTTGCAAAACTGCTTCGTGGAAATCCTGAGATAAAGTGTTCAGAAGAACAAACTGATCTGCCCAGCAGTAAATCAGCCCAGGGTGGTACAGAAGTAATCTATAATAGAAATTATGATAATGATCAGACAGAGGAGACAACAGAAGAAGGGTCAATGAGGTTGGAAGTATCGATCCAGGAAGATATGCTGAAAGAAATATTAGAAGGAAATTACAAGATGAATATTGCTCCTTCTGACCTGGTTGATTTTGGAGGGCAAAAGTCTTTTGATATGACACATCAATTATTCATTCAAAGTAAAGGCACCTTTGTGCTGATGTTTGATGGAAGATATGGTTTAAACGATGCTTTGGAAGATTATAAACCAAATGATGTAACAACAGTTTGTAAGTTTAAGTAAATTTGAATAAAAGTATTATTATATACTTTCAGCTCGCCTAACCTTATGGCCTTATTTGTCCGTGGGGTTCTCTTACTAAAAACCTACAAAGAGATGGGTTGGGTTATAATCAAATTATGAAAATGGCAGCTTGCGGTATCATTGTAAAGTCTGTTATAATAACCTTGAACAGGAGTTCAAATCTTAGGAGAATTTTAAGTATGCTTTATTATATCACCTTGTTCTTTGTTGGCTTGACTGTGATTCTTTTCAGCATTTTGTTAAAATTACTGAACACTTGACCAGTTTTATTGATAAAATAATTGGGTCGGAATTATGAATGAACTGCAATAGGAGGAGAGCACCATTACATTGAATCAAGTCAGTCACAGTATAATAAAATATCATGTACGAGTTCATTGTCTTATGGTACACTATTATGATCATTGTAATATGTCCGTCAGTACTTGATGTTAACTGTTCCTCTTTATTCCATTTTAAAATAAAAGATAGTGATAAATGTTTACAGTGACATTAATTCGTGCAATATAATCGAAGTTGAATTTTGATTTCTATTGTACAAGGATGTCCAGGGCATTGTCGATATCTAGCATGCTGTTGCATAAATCAGCCATGCACGTTATGAAATAATATCTGAATTAAGTCCAGGAAATGGTTGATAAAGAAATAAACTTAATAACAAACAGAAACAATTTTAAGGTTTTCTAAAGTTAGTAGGAATTTTATCAAAATTTAAATTCCTCATCGTGTTACCGAATTTTTTATACTATTGAGTTTAGTTTAGACACCTTCTCCTTTTGCCAAAAAGTAACTGAGGCCAAATATCTGAGTTTACGATATCTGACAAAACTAAACAAATGTCATGTAAACGTCTGAAGGAAGGTTATGGATATTAATATGTAACTTCACCTTTTTTAATTTAAGGTTGAAAAATTTGGCCTTATTATAATATCGTATTTTAGCCACTATTTATCATATAACTGTGGAGCAGCGTATCTAAAAATGAAGACTGGACATATCAAAGGCCATTGTTCTAATTGTTGAAATGTTAAAGATTGAAGTCCGTAACTCTTTCATGACAATCAGGAAAAGTCATACTCCTACCAGAATAGAGCAAACTATAGTGCAAATATGTGTAGAAAAGTTTTATTTCAAAGTTAATCTCAATTTCGTAACCCTTCAAAGACAAATCTTCATGTTAATTCAAACAGGAGCTTGCCATAAACAAACTTGGAAGGATCGATAAAGTAAGTAAACCAGAGTTATTGCAAAACTTCGTTGGTTTTCTCTTTTGAATTGTTTCACATTTTGTTATGCCTGAACCTTTCAAAGCTTACTTTACGGTATGGGTTTTGCACAATGTTGAAGACAGTACGGTGAACGTTATTGTTTACCTCTACGTCGTTTGGTATCTTTTGGATAGTTGTCACATTGACTAAAGCTTCGGGTTATTATGAACTCTCATGAAAATGGGAATGATAACAAATGTTTAAGAAGAGTATAAAGTTTCCTGTTATTCATACGTTTAAGTTAAAACGATCACTTTTCTTCAGGGTTTGGTGTCAAAATATTGAGTTTCATGTTTCCATACAATATTTTACTTTCTGATTTGGTTCATGATTATTATTTTTTTCAAATGATTAAATTGCCTACTCAAGTAATTCAAGGTTTCATTCACATGATTTATTATAAAAAAAAATTGTGACATTTTCACTATAAGTGTTGTTTTGATGGTTGTGATGCCTGAAAAGCATGAAACAATTACTCTGTCGTACACACTCCGCCTCGCTCCTTTTTGAGTGCATGTGATTCCCTGAGATGATGATGACGAATGGCTTTTTAACGTCCAGTGGCTAATTTAATGCATATTCAGAACGAGAACATGTTGATGAAATGTAAACAATTAATCATGTTTTGTACTACACCGACATGCAGAGCCGAATTGTTACCGTGCTATTTCACACGGTAATAGTCTGCAGGAAGATATGGGTCATCCTACTTGGACACATTATTCTTACTACTCCGTACCGAACAGTCTTTGCTCTTTTTGGCTAAATAAATGCCACGGCTCACAAATTTGTCAAACAGTATCAAAAATCAAGATGAAACATTCATATGATCAAGAATCACAAATGATCAAAATTAACACATAAGAGTAGATTGCTGTTGGCGTTGTGTCGTTTTCCCGCCGATTTGCCTCAGATGGTCTTTCAAAACATTTGTTGTATTCTAAGAGAATGAAAATTGATCCAACGCTTCTGTGTCATTATATTTAACGAGTAAGTTCATTAGAAAATGAGTAAAAAGTTCATTTTAAGAATAACGCTCAAAATTTGAACGGAATATTGCAAATAAGTTTCTTCTTGAATTCTCTTGGAATTTCTACACGCTTGGCGAGCCATGACGAATCATCATACAACATTGGGTACAACAGAAATACTGTTTTGACCATACAATCCGAAAAATTAATCAAAACAGCAGCAGTTTCTCAATATAATACACACATTTTAAAATCAAGAGGTGAGAAGATGGGTTTTTCTCACATTACATAGAAATATGTATACAAAAACCTAGAATTTTACCCTGCCGAAAAATGTCTGCTTGATTCTGAATGCTAACACAGACTATAGACTGACGTCACAAACGTTATTAGTTCAATGGGCTAATTTTCCGAGAAGTGAAGTTTCATTTTCTAAAAATCGCAGAGCTTCCTATGTAGAAACTGTATCAAGAAAGGTAACTTGAATACCAACTGCGACTGCAACTTCAAAAAGTTAAAACAATCTACCCCCTATACGGATAGATTGAACTATCTATGTCAATATACAACGTCTTAATCCAGCTAACAAACGAATATATTGAATCCAACAGATTGATAGTTTGATATATGAATCACAATTTTAAAATATATTGAAAATTCCAAACATCTTCTTAAAATAGCGATAGCAAAAATCATTATCATGTTCAAATTTATTTCAGACGATAAAAACAAACAGACCTATAATTAAATTTTGATCCTAACTGTTTATCAATGGGTATGTCGTGTTTAGTTTGACTTACAAAAACAAGCGGATGAGAAAAAAAATGTATGCAAAATAATATTTAATGTATTGATAGTAAACAAAGCATCGGCAGTGGTATAAAACATTCATTTCCCTTTGCCTCGGGAGATATGAAGATTTTCTCACCCTCGAAAAATCATATTTCCCTCGGGCAGAGCCCTTGTGAAATATGAATACTCTTGGGTGAACAAATCTTCATATCTCCCTCCGGCACGGGAAATAAATGTATAATATTTCAAAAACTTAAAACAATTATTCTGCAAATGTTTAAGAGCTAATCAATTCATAAATAAAAAGCCTCATACACATTGGTTCACATTTTAATCTTATATGATAAAGTTCTTGGCAAAAAGTCATTGACATGTAATTAGTGTAATTGACAATGTTATTGTAATGTAATTAATTACATTTTGAAAATCGATGTATTTGAAAGGTAATTAATTGGCTCTTTCATATTATATTTCATGTAGTTGTAACAAAAGTTTTAAATTATCACATTTTTTACAGCAATTCTGACGCATTGGATCGACTCCATTTTGACCTACTGTGTAGACACATCAGTTGATGAATCCAAACTACCAAAGATATTGTTTGCAGCAACACATGGCGACTTTTATAATCAAGTAAGTGAAATAGGAAAAGAGTAGAATCTAGTGGTTTATTTTCTAATAAAAGAAGATGACGGTAAAATACGAATGAACTGACAACAACCAAAATATAGCCAGAAGCCCAGCCATGTTAATCCCATATTTTAGGTTCTCTGCAGGTGGAGTGATAATTACTTTTAAAAATATGTATGTAAGCCTCAAATATATGTTCTGTCCTCAACTCTGTGTCCTATATTATATTGCGTCATAGTAGACGCAAATCTATGTCCTTTCTGTCCTCAAATCCGTGTCTTTTTCAACAAGGTATGCACTGTCCTATGAGTTGACGTCATAATTATCAAAACATACCTTCGAGTAATATTTTTGTTACTATTATTTGCAATGTCTCACAACAGAGCTTGGAATAAATAGAACTACTGGTAACCCTACATATTTTTTAACATCATTTACCAAGGACGAAATTTTACAAAATCAAAAATCTGTCCTTTCTTTTGGTATCAACATCAAAGAAAACGAAGAAAATTTACAATCATTATACTGGATACCAAAACTACACAAAACTCCATATAAAGAACGATACATAGCTGGGTCATCAAAATGTTCGACTAAACATCTTTCTAAAGTACTGACTACTATTCTTTCTACAGTTAAAGATGGGCTTCAAAAATTTTGTGATGAGATATATTCTACCAGTGGTGTTAACCAGATGTGGATTCTCAAAAATTCTAAAGATCTACTGCTTAATCTTCGATCACAATCTTTGCAATTTTGCAACAACATAAAGACTTTTGATTTTTCTACGCTTTACACTACCATTCCCCATGCTCAGTTGAAAGATCGACTTCACCATCTCATCAAACAGATCTTTTTCTATAAAAATGGGAATCGTAGATACAAATTTCTTGTTTTGGGTTACAATAATTCGTATTTTGTGAAAAACCACACTAAAACTACCAGAAAATATACTGAAGATGATATTATCAAAATGCTGGACTTTTTGATCGACAATATATTTGTTGAGTTTGGAGGATTTATATTTCAACAGACAGTCGGCATTCCAATGGGAACTAATTGTGCACCCCTACTGGCAGATTTGTTTTTGTACTCGTATGAAGCAGAATTCATTCAGAACCCTCTAAAAGACAAAAATAACCCATAATTCAGCCAATACTTACATCTCATTTATCCCAGTGAACTTGAAATTAAGGATACTACCGATACTAGAAGGACTGCTTCATACCTTGATCTTTTTTCTCAATATTGACACAGATGGACGACTTCACACGAAAATCTATGATAAACGGGACGATTTCAACTTCCCAATTATCAATTTCCCATTTCTCAGCAGTAACATACCCTCTGCCTCTTCGTATGGTGTTTACATATCTCAATTGATACGTTATTCTCGTGCTTGTTCACACTATACGGACTTCATATATAGGAGTGTGCTCCTTACGCAGAAACTGCTCATACAAAGTTATGAGGAGGAAAGATTAAAAATGACACTCCGTACATTTTACGGACACCATCACGAATTGGTTGATCCATACGATGTGTCTTTGTCCAAACTAACTAAGGACATTTTTACCACGTGTTAGATTGTTGTTTGTCATTACGTCGTCTGATCTTTTAATTACCGAACGTGACTTATTCCCGATTGTGACTGTTTTGCTGAGTGTGAAACCGCATTGCTAGAAGACGTGTCACGGTACTTTTCTATCCCAAATTCATGTATTTAATTTTGATGTTATATTTGTTATTCTCGTCGGATTTTGTCAAATGTCTTAACGTCTTTTTTGTTATATTCGTGTGTTATGGTAAAGATAATGAATCACCCCCTTCATTTATTAGATTTTAGTTTGGTTCAACGAAATTTATACGATATATTTGGTTTACAGTTTGATTCAGAAGAAACACCGACATAGCTAGATAATACAATTAATTATCTAATTACTACCACAATTTGATATTAATAAGTATTGTAATTTTCATTGTTATTAATAAATGTAATGTCAGTATTACAAATATAATCTTGAATCAATCCTAATCCTATCTTATTTTTGGGCAATATTTTTACAAACTCAAATGTGACGTCACTTTGTGTGTTTTTTTAGAATTTCAAATGTGACGTCACTTTGTGCGTTGAGGCTTTGGCTAACTCGGCTGTGTATTTTTATGTGTTGGAGTAAGTTGTTTTATGTAATGTATCCGATTTTATTCTGTAGTTAGTCCCCACTTCGGTTTTATCATGTATATCTATTATATAGTCATTTTATAAAATTCACTGTTTGCAAAATTATAAATTATTCTAAATAATAAGGATGTTCTTGTCCCAGACAGAAAACCCTGGCCGTGTTAGGCGCAACTTTCTGGAAGTTTTGGTCCTCGGTGCTCTTCAGCTTTGTACTTGTTTTGGCTTTCAAACTTTTTTCATCTGAGCGTCACTGGTTGGTCTTGTGTGGACGAGACGCACGTCTGGCGTATTGAATTTTAAGCCTAGTACCTTTTTTTAGCTATTATTCGTGTGGTTTTTTTTGTCCTATATGTTCTCCCATTTATTTGTATTGTGGTCCTGTCATGTGATGTTATCATTTTGGTGTTTTGTTTGACGTTGCCATAAAAGCGGGAGGTTTGGCATGCCACAAAACCAGGTTCAACCCACCATTTTTTTCTTAAAATGTCCTGTACCAAGTCAGGAAAATGGCCATTGTTATATCATAGTTCGTTTCTGTGTGTGTTACATTTTTAATGTTGTGTTTTTGTTGTGTCCTTGTTCTCCTCTTATATTTGATGCGTTTCCCTCAGTTTTAGTTTGTAACCCGGATTTGTTCTTATCTCTATCGATCTATGAGTTTCGAACAGCGGTATACTACTGTTGCCTTTATTTGTTGTCAACGACATAACGTGAGGGTACCCAAATTGCACCTATTTTGGCAGTTTTTTGTGCACCGGAGGGGGCATTATGTGTTATCCTTGTCCGTCCGTCCGTACGTACGGCCCAAAATTGGTTTTCGTTCTCTAACCTAAGGTTTCCTAAACCAAATGGGTATCCCATGGACACATTCTCTATTTATTGACCAATGTTTATATTAGATCCAGACAAAAGTTTCCATTCTGTGTTTATGTTATAGATGTATCCTTGATTACTATATAGTTCCACAAAATTAATTTTGAATAAATATTGAATTATAGAAAATAGGTTTTGAACCGACCTCTAAACGACTTACGATTCTGTAATGAGGAGTACCTAAATTGCATCCCTGATTAATAAACAGCTGTACAAATCGAAAAACTGACGTTTTGTTTATTTTTTCCACATTTTTAGCTCACCTGGCCAAAAGGGTTTTGAAAACCGCTATGAATAGAGAAAATTTTAGAATGTTGAGATCTTCCTGCTGTGCATTTATATCAAAACTGTCAGACGACTTTTGATAGGAGTTCTTGCCCTTCAATGTCAAATTTTACCGATTTTTTCATCTTTGCCTATTATTTTAAAAACTACAATATAAAAGAAAGAAGCTTTAATTGGAAAAAAAAATTATCAGACAGACAAGATCTACAAATAAGTCAACATGGAAGAAATCGTCAGAAGACTTCTTATTTGAGTTGTTGCCCTTTTTTTGACGACTTTTACCGTTTTTCTGCTTTCTTGATTAATTTCTTACACACATCTTCTCCTCTGAAACCACTAGGTCAAATTTAACCAAACTTAGCTACAATCATTTTTTGGGTATATTGTTTAAAACATGTGTCTGAAGTCCCTGTTTGTAAACAAACATTGCCGACATGGCTAAAATTATAAGGTTTGTCTGTTATCTTGAAAACCGCTATGAATAGAGAAAATTTAACAGGGGCAGAAATGTTAAGAATATTAAGATCTACCTGCTGTCGTTTTACGTTAAAACTGTCGGACGACTACTTGTGGGAGTTATTGCCCTTAAATGTAAAATTTTGCCATTTTTTTCATTTTTGCTGATTACTTCGAAAACTATAATCGATAGAAAGAATATTTATATAGGAAAAGTGATCAGCAAGACAAGATCCACAAATAAGGTATATGACTGAAATCATCTGGCGACTTTTTATTGGAGTTTTTGCTCTTAAACGATTTTTACCATTTTTGGGCGTTTTTCCATAATATCTTAGAAACTGCAATAGAAATATAGAATCTTTAAATAACCTAAATGATCAACAAGACAAGATCTACAAATAAGTCTAACTGACCAAAATCGCCTGTTGACTCCTTTATATAACATGTTTCAGACCAAATAAAATTGACATCAAGCGTACGATCTAAAGTCAATACCGACATGGCAGACCAAAGCCAATTAACTAATCAAACTTCAGTGCGTTGACCTTAGACCAATTGATAAGAGAATTACTGGCGTGACCATCGATTAGACGTATACAAATAAATTATAAATAACCTTGACCGCAGATAACTGATAGCTATTGATGACCGCTCTTATGAGAACGATTACAGACACTATACCCCGTAATTACAAAGTAGTTATTGTTGATATAAAGCCTTAAACGTCCAACAGGAAGTATTTCAAGATACCAAGTCTAATATTGTTGAAGTATTAAAATAATATAAACCATGATAATATAATTATTTGTATTATGCAAATATTTGGGCTGAAGGGCAACACGTTATGTTACAGAAAACTTCCTTGGCGTCATTGAATGAAAAGCGATGAATGTAAAACTAATTTACGCCAACATTATACTTAACTATCCGAGCAGGGTGTGCGGCACACTGTGTGAATGCTTGAAGATATTTTTTTCTCTAGTATGTAATACACTCAGTTCTGTCATATTGTGAATCAAGAACAAAACAAATTGTATGCTACCTGCAGTTGACACGAAACACACAGTTTGTACATAAAATGATAATGTGTTCTCAGATAATTAAGGATAATGTGCCGCTAAAATACTGTCCCTGAGCTAGCCACATATCTTTGCACAGAAATGCGTCACCATAGGGGTATTTGCATACACTTGTGTGTACGACT